AAACTAGTTTATTACTTTAATGGTAATGGATCAATGTATTATATTTGGCTGCAGTCACCTGGCAGCAGGTGAAGATAGATAATAATAACATTATTCTAACAAGTAGGACCTGTGCATCATCTTATAGGGTTCCTACTTAGTTTGAATCTGTCTTTCATTACACAGTAAATACCAACTAGCCGTTTGCAGCTCCTTCGCATGTTATCATCCCAATAAATGGCCTTTATTATAGGTAATCAGTGAAATAGAATTGCTTCAGCTTATGCTTCCTATCTACCAGTAGGCTATGTACCGGTAGGTTGTTATAACCAAAAGAATCCTAACCTAAAGGTATATAATCTCTTTATGTGTAATCTGAAAAAAAAAAATTGCGTAGTTCTTCATGTATTGAAAATTAAAATAAAAAGATCAACATGTTGCTCATCTTAAAAAAGAAACAAACACAAATAAGTCTCACATCCAGAGTCTTCACCCTATAAATAGTTAACTATCTGTGAATTAATCCAGATAATGCTTTAATAAGACCCTCATTAATAGGACATGTACTGTTTATTTTTAACAGCTAGTGTGTCTAACAGACCTAGTCAATTATTTTTTTTTTTATGCACAAAGCTACGACAAAAATCTGACTAAATCAGGAAATGAAACAACGTGTGATTTGACTGTAAGGAGAGCGAAGGACACTGCTCCCTACCAAGTTAGCTCTGGGGAGAATGTTACTACAGTAACAGAAACAGAGTTTGAGTAAGCTCTTTTTGTGAAATGGAAAACGCAGTTTCCCTCATTTTAGGTTTAAAAACGTCGTTTTCAGTAAATCTGCTTTGTGAAACAGACTCCAGAAGTCCATTTCCCTCTCGTTATTGCACACTGACCCTCACAGGTTCTCTCTAATCAGCAGACCCACTAGGTTTGCTATTCACCCCAAACCAAGAAACACCAAATCTTTGGTGTGTGTGTCGCATTAGTGGACAAATCAAACAACTCCCTGCAGAAATCATTAGCATTCAGGTGATTCTAAATTGACACAGCAGCTTTAAGTGGGTGTTACATACATGTGCCTCTTTTTGTTCCAAGTCCATCTTTAAAGGTCATGTAATACAACATCTGCGTTTTGCCTCCAGAAGCAAAATTAAAATGTCATGCTGGTGTATATTTGGATTAATTTGGATTACATGGCTTCGGGTGGGGCCTGGGATTCACAAAGAGGAAGGCCTTTTGTAATACTAGTAAAATCCCAGCAGAAAACAGGCTGTAGAAAGAAACATTAGGATGAGCCGGTTTATATAAAACTAATTTAATGACATGATCAGAAAATGTTAAAAACTGGTTTTTGATACAGGGCTGTTGTAAAGCCTACACCACCTGGGCATATGTAAAATCAAATTGGTGCCTTAGTAATTAGAGCGATATCTACACATCTTTGGTTAGAGGATCCAAACCTAAGAAGATGTCTTAACGATTACCAAGCATGGGGGACTTAATGTTATTCTCTGGATTCTGAAATGAGAAATAAAAGAAATTCTGAACTCTACCGCAGGTCAACAGCTATTTTGTTGAAACTTGGGAATCATTTATATCTTCCAACAATGCAACAACAAGTTTTCTGAATGGCCCTTTTTCCAACCCGGTAAAAATTTGTAACAATCATTTCTTAAGTCATTTCTGTCCTGAGAAACCCCCCAATACATTTAAATCAATTCCAGCCATGATATACTGCTCTCTGGAACATGTAATTAAATATTGTTGGGATAATTCTTTTATATATTTGTATATATATATATATATATATATATATATATATATATATATATATATATATATATATATATATATATATATATATATATATATATATATATATATATATATATATATATATATATATATATATATATGTATATATGTGTGTTCTTCTAAATGTATGGAAGTATCTGATCCATGCAAACATATTCAGCAGAAGTCATTAATTTTCTCTGATAATATTAAACAATGTATTATTTTGTTGGTCACATAATCTTAATATTTAAAACTTCAGTTGGTGCATTGGTCTTTTCATAGTTTTACTATCAGTCTTATTAGCTGTTTATTTGATTTTAAGTAGTCTGAAAGCCTAAAAACAGTGTAAATAACTATTTTAAACAACAAATGTGGCTTAAGGCCAGCAGGAATGAAGCTGTAGGTAGTTTGCAAATATCTAAACAGATAGAATAGCTTCTGCTGTCTGGCATGTTTAAAGCTTTGATGTTGCAGATACAGTAGCTTTATTGACATTTTAAAATTCCTCTTAAACATAGGAACATTAAGATGCCTTGCCAGCATTGTAAAGCCACTTTGCTTAGAAGCCCCTCTCTGTAGTACAGCTTTCATCAGGGAGTATTGGTATTCTTTGGCTTGTCTGTTTGTCTTCCTTGATGGGAAAATAACTGAACCCTTTAGCCTTTTAGCCTAAACAGCCATAAAGATTCTTCTCCTGGTGTTAATTGCCATGAAATGAAAATTTTACCCTTCCAAAAGCCTCTTATTGTATGGATTCTGTAGAAGGATTATTTAGTTGAGCTGCTGTAAGGGACGAAAAGGGCAGGGTTTTTGAATGTCTGAACTGGTGCGGTGCCAACAGCTTGGATTTTATTGATTGTACAGTGAAGATTTATCTTTAAAAAATTATTTTTTTTTAATATCCCTACCCTAACATGAGCTTTTAAATAAAACTGCAGCAAACAGCTTTTTTTTCCTAATCATGCACAATTTCTGTTGTTTGATTTTATTCTCACTCTATCAAAAGAACAAGTCAAAAACATCTCGAAATCCCCAAATTCATAAGGATTAAAAACCCATGACGAGTGAGTAAATTTTACCTGTTTTTGGTTGTCTGTTTATTTATTTTGCTGCCTGTTGGCCTTGATTCCCTTAAAAAGAGTTTTCTAATCTCAGGTGTGCTGGCCTGGTTGAATACAAAAACAATACCTACCTTATTTTTCGGACTACATATTGCACCGGAGTTTAGCCAAAAACTATTATGAAGATGAGAACCACATATATACTGTACGTCGTACCAGACTAAAAGTTGCACCTTTTTGAAAGGTTATTCTATCCATGGAATCCGTGTTCTGATAACTGGCGTGAGGTCGGCTACCGCTCAAAGACCGCATTGTTTTATTTCATGAACGAGCATCTGATAAGCAGTGATAATGCGCCAGTTGCCCTATCGCTTACTCTGGTCTTTTAAATATCACCACTACTATCATTAATACTATCAATACTATCAGAGAGGCGATTGCGTTGCATAAAGTGGTAACGTCGAGTTGGACCTTCGGCAAAGTTCTCTATATTCATTTCTTTGGCAATTACCTGGCCATGGAGCTATAACTGCACAGTAGACAGGCCTGAACCCGCAGCGCGTTGTTCGAAGAATCCATGTACAGCTCTTCCTCTAGACGTGGTCATCTAGCCTTTAGCTCTCGGTTAGCTTTTTTTGTTTTTTCATAACCTTCAACTTTTCCTCAGCTTTTCTCCGGTCCCTAACCAGTTTTTCACTGCATCCAAACTGTCGTTCAATTGCCCTATTCCCATTTTCGACTGCATATTTAATTAATTTGAGCTTGAAATAAGCAGTATATAAATTTATTTTGCGTAGCATCTTTCTAGTCAGTTGTAATTGTTTTAATGCTAATTTGTTTTGTTGTGGTAAATTGTAACGTTTTTACTATCAACCTGTAATATGTTGTTGTGGGGAAAGCAACTTAGCGCCCTCTTGTGGTGAAAAAAAACGTATATGTTTCACCAGAGTATAAGTCGCATGGCCAGCCAAACCATGAAAAAAAGTACGACTTATAGTCCGAAAAATACGGTAGAAGCATTTACTAATCTGACCTCAGTATGGACAAAATATTTAACCCTAAAACATGGACTAACTCTAATGTATAAAGAGAGATAAGAAACATGTATTTTTCTTAGACAAAATTCACCCCCCTGATAAATAACAAAGCTAGCTTATTTTTCAGCAAAAATACTATGGGCTTCCATTTTGGGTCGGAATTGCATTTTCAAATAAGAAAGTTAAAACACAAGACCAATATATCTTATTCTAAATCAAATAAATATCTGATTAAGAAAATGAGTGAAGAAAACCTCTTAGCCTCAGTTGTGTTATATTGCTAGCTTACTGAATTGTGTACATAATGAATTAGTTGGCAATCTTTTTATCCTATAAAAAAGAAAAAAAAAACAGCAAGGCTTTCTCAGTGACAGTGTGTTTAAATAACTGGCCCGGTTACTCGGAAGTGACACCTCCTATAAAAAATTCAGTGGCTTAGGTAAGATTTCCAAAACTGTAATGGTGACGGACTCATATTCTGCTACAGTATAGACAGGCACCTCTTACACTGACCCTGAACTGACTAATGACCAGAAATGTGCTGACATTCATATCATGTTATTCCAAAGAGTTGTCAGGGAAACAAAAGATGAACTTATTTTGGTTCAATAGTAAATAATTGTAGTCTAATAACAATTTGGACACAAAGTGTTTTTTTAAACTGAGGGACTTTTTTTTTTAGAGATTTATGCAGCTGTAGTGGTAGTTGTGGGCAAAGAGGTTATTTAAATAAAATAATTAGCTTAAAATAAACATTAATTTATTATATGTATTCTTATATCCTTTCAGTGTTCAAAATATCAGTATTTGTAAACTCTGCATCTTTTTATCTGATGCTAAAGTAGATGCTGCACATCAGGGTGAAGAGATTCTCATACAACTAGATAAGCAATTATTTTTAATGACTGTTTGTCAGACTTGAACATCATATTAACAGCTGTCCAGTCCCCTCTAATAACCACTATTCAATACAAGAATCCTTGGAAAGTAATGAAATGACAGGATTAAGAGGTAATCTGCTGTAACTTCTTCCTGTATTTTAATCATGTAAAACACTTTGCATTGTCTTTGTACTGAATTGTGCTATACAAATAAATTTGCCTTGCCTTGCTTTGCCTTGTAACTGAACTGGTTGTGTATTTGCTAATCTCTGCTGGCCCAAGTTTACTCTATCATTCTTTTTCAAAGGGAATTTGATGGGGTTCTTTAGGTGTCGCACAGTGGCTCAGTTATTTGCTGCAAAAAAATCCCTGGGTTCAATTCCAGCCGGGGTCATTTCTGTGTTGAATTTCTTTTTTCTTCCGGTAACATGTAGATTCTTTTCAGTTTCCTCACACATTCCAAGACCACAGCTTCTCTTCATTACCCACAAAGGCAAGACTGTATTTATGTATGTTATTTTCTCTAAGACTGTTTCCCTGTGCTGTTTCTACATGACTGTTGCCATGTACTGTATTGTTTCCGCATGACCGTTGCCATGTGTTACCACGTTGTCTTTTTACCACTAAAAATAGACGCTAGCCTCCCTAAACACCCTCCGATGATGACATGACTATATGATATAGGTGAATTCTCATAGTATAGAGCATCAACTCATATATGTAATAGTGATCTTCTAGTTTTTTTTTTTACCTCAAATACTCTCATATGAAACATTCTCTTAATAAGTAAGGATAAGCTCTAAACAGAAGATACAACATACATATAGCCTCTTTTTTTAATTACTCATAATTGTTCTTTTAATTTATTTTGTGCAAAATATTCAAAGCCCACGGAACATCACAGCAAACTGTCTTCTGGCAAACAGTTCTATTCAACCATATATTTACAAGTGAAAGAACTTAAGCCGGGATCTATCAGAGTGCTTTTTTTTACTTAAACTTGACCAAACTCACACCATGGCTGCTGGAGACTGATATCCACCTAAGGTGCACAGTTTGTCTCTACTTGGTCATTTACATCATTGCCAGAAAGTGAGGCCTCCATGTACTGCATCTTTTTGGCACTCGGAAAAATTCCAGCAGGTAGGTACTGATCGCACGGTGAATGCAGCTCGTCTATTTGCTCGTCTGTTGTAAAGTGGTCTGGGCTTTCCCCATTGGACGTCTCCTTGATGACGCTGTAAGTGAGCGCTACGCTGTAGGATGCAGGTTTCTCCATACGCTGGGGGCCACAATGACACAGCTTCTTGAAGGCAGTGCGGAACTTCTGGGACATGGCATTGTAGATCACTGGATTGATGGCACTGTTAAGGTAGATGCAGAGACGACAAAAGAGCAGGAACCAGGTGTCTAGGTAGGGTTTGTTTAGAAAGGAGTTGACCACTACTAAGGTCCGGTAGGGCATCCAGAGTAAGGCGAATAGGATTACAACCACAGCAAGCATCTTCGTCACCTGGTAAAACAGTAAACAGACCAAATAGACGACTGCAAATTAGAAACAGTAAAAACAAGTAATTTGTCCTAAGTTTCTTTTCATAAAATATTTAACTGTTTAGGAACAGTTTGTTTTATGAGCAGTGGATCAACAGGATTTGCTGTTCTGTTTAGTACAAAGAAAAAAGTATTCACAGCCCTAAGACTATGCTAAATGTTGCTATGTTACAAGTGTTGGGAGTAATTGCCTTTTATATTAAAGGCATAACATTATTAGTTGTTCAGTAACAGAGTTATCTGACTTTTCTAAGTTCGGTATTTTGTTTTTATTCTACGGAGAAAGCAGTAGTTCTGAAAAGGAGGAATGTTTGAAGCTTATTGGCTGAGGATGCTTTGGTAGGCGAGTTAATAAACATCGATTGAAACAAACAAGAGAGAGCCAAGGCAATGACAGAGAAGGGCATAAATTCTACTATAATGTTTCTAATCTGGGATTACAGGCACTATTGTACACTCAAAGATAAAATGTTACTGCGATTGGATTAATATGGGCTGGAGCAAAGACTTTCAATGTTGGTTACAAGCAACTGTGCTTTAATGAACTGCTTGTTAATCTTTCACCCTCCCACAAAACCTACTTACAAATTGGGCCTTTCCCAGTACATTGCACTCTTGTCTCTACAGTGTTATCATAAAATCACTTGCTTTGTATACTGTCCTAGTTTACCACTGTGAATATGGATGTACCAGAACTGCAGTGTACCTGAAGTTCTGAAGTGGTGTGACTCCTGATTAGTTTTACTACAAAGAATATTTAATTTGTTTTATATTGCTTGAAAGTTATGTTTTTCATTGCTATGCCTTATCATTATCAGTTGAAACCTCTTAATATGCATAAATATTCCATTTTAAAACATCTACTTTGTTTTCTTGTTCTTTTATTATAAGCATTCAACATGGTAAATAATCACATGTACATATATCTACTCACATCCAAGTCCCAGTACACACTATAATACTGTAGATTAAGTATATCTAATCCTTCATTAATCATTATTAAGTATTTAAGGGGGTCATAGAATGATTATATAGGGTATTTGGTGCTGGTCCTTAAGGTCTCTGAATAGGGTGTGTAACATTAGTTGGGCTGAAAACGGCATATTTGCTGTTCTATGTGCCCTAATGCAAAGCCGGGTTAAAAGGCCTAGACTGAAACGACAGGTTTTCTTCTTTTTATGGTATGATCATGAATATGCAGATGAGATATTTAGCAGCAGATCTTCTCTAAAAGAGTGCAAAGAGTAATTCATAAGATTGCTTTTTTTTTTTTTTTTTTTGCAGAACAACTGCATTTCAAAGCCTTGTATCACCAAGGGCAATGTGAATCGTCAGAAAAGCACTGATGCACAACTACAGTAGCTGCCCCTGGAGCATTGGAGATTGGTTTTCTGGAGTAACAATTCATACTTTCAAGGTGGGGGCCCATATCTAGATATCTTGGCCAAGGCTGTCAGCTGGCCTGCCTGCAAAGGGTGGGCAAACATCATATCATGTCCTTTGAGTCAAGAATGCAAAGTCACCGAAGTTAAAACCTAATTGAGACAGAATGTAAAATGCATGCAACTGTATTTGCAGTTAATTGTGCTTATGAATATATTTTAATGCCCACTTTTTAGTTTTTTATTGCTTACCTGTATCATTTTCTTTCTATATCACATTTATATGGTACTTTGCATTGGTCTTTCACATAGAATCCCAATGAAACACATTAAAGCAGAACAGACTATAGAGCATTAAGATGATGAGTAGAAGAAGACAGGTAGCATACTTTTAAATGATAAGCAGCTCTAATGCACCTTGCTGTCAGTTATGTGTGCTGCATAAAATCAGATTTTCCAAGGACAGAAAGTCCTTTTAAGAGCTCTTAAATGAATCATTTGCTGCATAATAACCAGAAACATAAAATAGTTTACCAAAGAGGCTTCCTTAGATGTAAATTCAGTTTTTGTGTATGTTTGTATTAATTTAGAAAATTTGCTAAACTTAATTTGATAATGAATTAAAACATGTTATTACAATCCCAGTTGTAAAACAAAAATATCAAAAAAATGTTCTTTGGATATATAGGAGGGTCTGCTAACTTAAAACAAACCTTTTTAATGTGTGTTTGTTTTTTTACCATAAGTTATGAAAAAAGCCAGTGCTAATAGTCTTATTTCCATATGCCTGCGTATGATGGGTTCATGAGAATTTTTTTTAGGATATTCTGTGGCATAAGAAATCTGGAGGGACTGACTCAGTAGTACTTAGAATTAGTATAAGAGGTTAAATGTATTCTAAATCAAAACCATTATTTGACTGCAGACACAGCACATGAAGCAACAAATAATGATTAAAAAATATATTTTTTGCATATGAACTTATTACATGTTTATGATTAATTTCTTAATTTATTTACATTTTAACTACACTACACATAGCAAAAAAGTGAAAATACAAGGCACTGCTTTACAAACATATTTTTTTAGACTTAGACAACTTCTATTGTCATTCTGTATACACAAACAGTGTATACAAAACAAAATTTCGTTTAGCACAGCTTTCGAGACAGTAAATGAACATTTCTATTCCATATCGTGCATCAAATGTAAAGAGTGTGGGAGAAAAAAAACGGTGCAAAAAATGCATTGATATGGAAGTTCAAAGCATTAATATATGCTCTGAAAAATTACATACATACATGTTCCCAGCGGTAAGTGCCAGGATGTTCAGCAATAGGACATTTATTTTGTATTGGAAATCTTTCTTGTTTTATCCACTAAAGAATGTAGACAACAAGGTCTCTGAAGTGGATGTGACATTGCACAATATCATTTCCTCAGGTAACGTTACAGGGATGTATGCTATATTTTAAGGCATCATAGAAGACAATCCATAAAAATGATCTAGGAGGGTATCTAACTAGCCTCCAGATAAACCCCATATGTCATGACATGCTACAGCACAGGAGGGTTCTCCTAAATGGTTCTACAGGTGCTGGTCATAAAATTAGAATATCATGAAAAAGTAGATTGATTTCAGTAATTCCATTTAAAAAGTGAAACTTGTATATTATATTCATACATTACATACAAACTCATATATTTCAGATGTTTATTTTGTTTAATTTTGATGATTACAAATGACAACAAATGAAAATCTCAAATTCATCATATCAGAAAATTAGAATATTGTGAAAAGGTTCAAAATTGATGGCCCCTGGTGCCACACTCTAATCAGCTAATTAACTCAAACCACCTGCAAAAGCCTTTAAATGGTCTTTCAGTCTAGTTCTATAGGCTACACAATCATGGGGAAGACTGCTGACTTGACAGTTGTCCAAAAGACGACCATCGACACCTTGCACAAGGAGGGCAAGACACAAAAGGTCATCGCTAAAGAGGCTGGCTGTTCACAGAGCTCAGTGTCCAAGCACATTAATAGAGAGGCGAAGGGAAGGAAAAGATGTGGTCGAAAAAAGTGTACAAGCAAGAGAAATAACCGCACCCTGGAGAGGAATGTGAAACAAAACCCATTCAAAAATGTGGGGGAGATTCACAAAGAGTGGACTGCAGCTGGAGTGAGTGCTTCAAGAACCACCACACACAGACGTATGAAAGACATGGGTTTCTGCTGTCGCATTCCTTGTGTCAAGCCACTCTTGAACCACAGACAGCGTCAGAAGCGTCTTGCCTGGGCTAAAGAGAAACAGGACTGGACTGCTGGTGAGTGGTCCAAAGTCATGTTCTCTGATGAAAGTAAATTTTGCATTTCCTTTGGAAATCAAGGTCCCAGAGTCTGGAGGAAAAGAAGAGAGGCACTTCATCCACGTTGCTTGAAGTCCAGTGTAAAGTTTCCACAGTCAGTGATGGTTTGGGGTGCCATGTCATCTGCTGGTGTTGGTCCATTGTGTTTTCTGAGGTCCAGGGTCAACGCAGCCACATACCAGGAAGTTTTAGAGCACTTCATGCTTCCTGCAGCTGACCAACTTTTTGGAGATGCAGATTTCATTTTCCAACAGGACTTGGCACCTGCACACAGTGCCAAAGCTACCAGTACCTGGTTGAAGGACCATGGTATCCCTGTTCTTAATTGGCCAGCAAACTCTCCTGACCTTAACCCCATAGAAAATCTATGGGGTATTGTGAAGAAGAAGATGCAATACACCAGACCCAACAATTCAGAAGAGCTAAAAGCCACTATTAGAGCAACCTGGGCTATCATAACACCTGAGCAGTGCCACAGACTGATCGACTCCATGCCACGCCGCATTGCTGCAGTAATACAGGCCAAAGGAGGCCCAACTAAATACTGAGTGCTGTACATGCTCATACTTTTCATGTTCATACTTTTCAGTTGGCCAACATTTCTATAAATCCTTTGTTTTTATTGGTCTTCAGTAATATTCTAATTTTCTGATATGATGAATTTGAGATTTTCATTTGTTGTCATTTGTAATCATCAAAATTAAACAAAATAAACATCTGAAATATATGAGTTTGTATGTAATGTATGAATATAATATACAAGTTTCACTTTTTAAATGGAATTACTGAAATCAATCTACTTTTTCATGATATTCTAATTTTATGACCAGCACCTGTAAATGTGTGTACTTAATATCTATGCATGTATGAGTGTTTTATTTATTTATTTATTTTTTCAGAAAAAGATGCTTGTTATATTTGTGGAATTGCTAATGTCTGATACTTAGTTTTACAGTTTAAATCATTTGATAATCTGCAAAACAATTAAATTAGTGTTTATTTTTCTTAACATTAGTGCATTTCTTTCTTGAATTGAGCAGGTGAGTGAGACCCTTTGCCAATAGGATAAGAGTTTATATTTAAAATAAGGAGAAACTGTAATAATCAAGTCACTACAGCTGGCCTATCTGTCCACTCTGCACTCCTGCTCAGCTCCACCTCACCTGCAATCGGCTCTAAACCCGTTCAGATCAGCTACCAGTGCCAGATCAAC